AAACAACACATTGTCACGTTACTTTAATTAATATGTTGGAGGATACTGATCATTAGTGTGATTATAGGAGAACAATACGTACATTATTGTGGTTATAATGTGACTGTAAAGCTGTGTTCGTAGTCACCGATGATTTAATAAATCGATTCCTGCTGACTCATCGATACAATTTTATTCGAGTTGAATTCCCATAAAATGTTGTTCGATATTTCACGTAGTACGTAGGTACCTACGCAGGAACTCTTTGTAACAGTGTGTCTAAAATTGATATTTTTTATTAATTAGATGAACAGGCATGTCGTTCTCAACAGCGACTGAGAAACTGATATACTATAGCTCTACAAAAGGGGTTTTGCCATATAATCTTTACTTTTTTATGGAATAAGCCGGTAAACGAGCAAACGGATCACCTGATGGGGAGCAATCTGCGTCGCCCTTGGGCACTTGGAACGCCCGAGGCATTACAAGTGCGTTACTGGCCTTTTGGAGAATAGGAGTTTGAGGATTGTTGGAGATTCAGGGATTGGAGAGGTTGGAGAAGGGGAGGGGGGATACAACGCAAGCGTTGCTTCACGTCTGTTTTCTGTAAGGCTGTGGTATCACTCCGGTCGTGCCGACTGCCGGCCAATTCGTGCCGAAGCATGGCTCTCCCACACTTAGATTTTTCACTTTATGATTGGCAACATACCTAGATATAATAAAGGTAATATTTCTGTGGTTGGCAAACAGGTTAAAGATCGTGTCAAAGAATCAGGTGTATCAGGAAAGATTGGACAAACAATTTGACGTTTTACGGTTTTACAAGATTCCCACTAAAATCGATTACAATTTCTATGTAAATAAAATCGATTACTTATTCGAATAACAAGTACCTACTAACGGTACATACCTAGTTTATTATATTCGATTCGGTTAACTAAAGCTATCTATTATCCTCATAGCCCGTAATTTTCCTGTATTCAAGCATATCAGAAATATAATAAATGTGTAGTTTTCGATGTCACATTATATTTAGTAAATATTGGTTACTAAACGATTATAAGGAAAAATTATTTTTATTGACTGGTGTGCTTCAGTGCACTTCCCCGGAAACCCGACGCTGACGCCATAACAAAGAAAGACATAAACTCAAACGGGAGCTGTGGACTAAAGGGTTAAAGAGCTGCGGGTCGAAGCTGGAGTAGTAACGGGGTGGTTTTTAGTCAGTAAGAGTTTGACACTCTTTCGCCTCACCCACGGTGGAAATTAGATTTTTCTTTTCACTCAAAGAGATATCACCTGAAGCTGCTGTACCTATTTTTACGAAAACAGTATGTATGTTTGTTTGTAGGTGTTTGTGTGCAATTATCTTGCTATTGCCACGAGAAGGTTTTGGTATATAAGTACTACTTCAAAAATGAGGGTGTTGAAGTTGATTTTTAAACGAAGTTAATGAAAGAATTATTAATTAACAAGCTTTTTTTAGTGCGACCTATATCAAACTATGTTATACCTAATCTAAAATGAATAACACACACTTTTAAACGCCGTCACAAGAGCAAAGCATAATTATTTTCACATATTATCAATATACCTACAATTGTGAGTCATCACGCACAGCTGTTTTTGTGACGTCACCAAAATATATCCAAGAAACATTATTTTGTTATGATAACATTACCTACCTAAAAATATTTTCAGTGTGAGAGAGCCATACTTCGGCACGAATGGGCCGGCTCGACCGGAGTGATACCGTGGTATCACGCTTGCTTTGTGTTTCGTCGTGTGAGTGAGGTTACCGGAGGCCAATTACCCTCCCCTTCCCCAATCTCCCCAATCCCTGAATCCCCAACGATCCTCAAACCCCCAAAAGGCCGGTAACGCACTTGTAACGCCTATGGTGTTCCAGGTGTCCATGGGCGACGTCGATTGCTTAGCATTAGGTGATCCGTCTGTTCGTTTACCGGCTTATGACATAAAAAAAAAATCGCAGACCGATTATATATAGATTCCGTCTATAATAGTAGTTAGCTATTCCATAGTATACATATAGCTCAATATATTAAAACATACTTACCTTTTATCGTTAGGTGTATTGTTGTATCTAAGTTAAGTCTACCAACTACTACCTACTTAGATTTGATGACCACGTAAGGTTTTTAGCTCAACCTAATCCAATCCAATCCATCAATAGGTACTCCAATCTTCAAATTTTCGTGGTGCTTGGTAACTGGGCTCCTTCCAGTTGTACCTACAGTCTCTTTTGGTGCCTTTAGGCTTTGTGTCTCCTGCAGTAATTCACCGAGGGAAGTGGAAATGGAAACTCTCGTTTTTTTTTCTTCTCCTCTTAAAGTAACCTCTGATTCACTTCGTTGCGGGAACCAAGACATGTTTTCATGGTTGTATCCACTGTAGATCCTAGCTTACAGGAGTTGCATCGGATTTGAGAGGTTGTGGCAAGCTTGTCCCTTAAAATAATAAAAATAAAAAGGTCATTTATTTCATTTTCATTTATTTATTCATTTAACAATTTACATTGTGTCTGAATTTAATATAGGTACAAAAAAAAGAGACAAGCAAATTCACATTACGAAAACACAACCACATAGGTACACAAAAAAATAAAACAATCGAATTTCATTAATTTCGGCTTCTAAGGAAGGCGGTTTATAATTTAGAATGTTGGCGTGTATTCTTATTTAAATTCACTTGACTCCAGAATAGTTCGTGTGTTCAATGAAAGTCCAAAATAAAATAGGTAAAACTTTGTGTTTATATTGTTCTAAGAAATATACAATTCACAACTAATCTATAATATTACAAAATATTACTGGTTAACACCAAAGCTGGGAGACGACTGGCGTGCTAACGCTGTAGGGTCGCAGGTGCAGCTACGCACTTGAGAACACATAAAAAATGTCAACACGTTAGTGTCGCTACAATAAGTTTAAGAATCTAATCAATGCAATCAATATACAGTTTCAGAATCTCAAAATAATGTCAAAGATATGTCAAAATATAATGCACATATTGTCACATCGTTTTAAAACAATACAATTTAGGATATAAAATAAAAACAAAACCGAAACAAAAAGCCAATGTCACATAGTTTCAAAGGTACCTCAATCTGTCCTGCGGCAGGACTCTGTACCTACAATAAATAGACATATTATAATAAAAAAGAAGGTGATTATACACCTATTGTATTTTTCATAATAGTTCGATAAAATTGAACAATGGAGGAAGCCTTAAGCCTATGAATTTTTCACATTAAGTAATTTCAATAGTCCAATAGACTAATCAAAATATTACTTTGATATTTTTTGGGATTAACCCACTTCAACCTCCGAACCGCTGCAACACTTATCTGCACCATACAGCAATAAGATAGGACAAAGAGGTAAAGTTTACTAGTGTCATCTAGATTGCTCTAGTTAAACTACTTGGTAACTACGACAAATTATTATCGTTACACAATGTAGATGTCGCAGTATTTTGCTTAAACTTATAGTGTTCAAACAAATTAGATTTTTTGTTTTTATTTATTTTTTATGAGTGTATATAAGAATATTATACTTCAAAACCTTTTTTACAATTGCGTTTACATAAAAATATGCATAATGCCCAAGAGATGGCGCTACAAGTACGTTTCGTAAGTTCAATTAGTTTTTTGTATTTCTTCGAAGTAATTTAGTTTTGGCTTCACTTTACATAATTAATTAAGCTATCTATATTAACGTAAATAAAATACATGTAAAATTAGCAGAAGGCAAATCAGCATACCTGTGAATATGTTACTTTGATTTATTTTTTCAGAAAATGAACTTAATTAACATTTATTGTATGTAGGTATTTTAGGTGTGACAATACTATTATATATACATTTACAAACCAGCATTATGTTACATAGCGTACAAAAAACTATTTTTACCTCTCAGATTAGAAACGTGCTATCTTACGGTATATTTTGGTTTCACACCAAACAGTCGAAGTCTGTCCATGCACATTTCATTAACGAAACTTTATATCGCTAGATGGCGTTACGTACGCAATCAATTCTGAAACAATCAAATTTATGAATTCAATCAATGGTCATTGATTTGTTATATTATATTAATGTAAGTTATGAATTGTGTTGAATAAACCTACCTTAAGCTACATAACGAAAAACTTAATTTGAATATTAAAAATAATTTAATTTTAATCCCTACATATCGAAGTGTGTTCTATGAAGACAGGAGTGACACCACGGCCTCACCGAAAAACAGCGTGAAATAACGCTTGCGTTGTGTTTCACTGTGTGAGTGAGAAAAAATGATTAACGAAGGCAGGAAAGCTTAGTTCCTCGGATCTTCCAAAAGGCTGACAACGTATTTCTAACTCCTCATGTGTAGCGGGTGTCGGTGATACGTCCTTCGATACGTTTTCTGCTTTACCTCATAAAATCTACTGTGATTAGCGTACACATTCAGCTTTTACCACCCAGTCTCAAATTAGATACCTACGTTTAAGAGTAAGAAATCTCAACCACCGTGCATACAGGGTACTAAATATATACCTATACAAATATCACCATTTTTACGAATAGATTTTAAAAATATTTACAAAAAATAAATCTGCTAAAATCTAGAATCCCTGGAATATCAAGGGCTGCACGGTATCATTGTGCCACACCATCATGATAAAACAATAACACTCGCGCAAGCGTACCCACATTAAAATATTTGTATGAAATCATTGAAGGAAAAGAGAGACAAAAATAATATTTTCTATAAATCGAATAAACAAAGAGTACTCTACATTCAAAACCAGTCCAGACCATTTGAGACTATCTTATTTAGTCGTCTTATACGATCGAATAGTGTTGAAATTATGAAAAATTACAATCGATTATTTCACTTAGGTGTTAAGAAATAGAGTGTAGTTTGGTTTGCGGTCATTTGACGGCTGATGTCGGCCGCCATTTTCCACAATGGCCGTCAGAAACGCGACATCTATGCAGAGTTTAGTGTCATCGCGAGCGTGCGTAGCTTGGGTCGTGCGTGTTTTTATCAGCACTATATTGTTTGCATCCATTGTATAAAGAAATATGACACGAAAAATTGCTCGGTGTAGTCATAATTCATACGTATCTGTCGTGTTGTAACGGAAAAAAGTTTATTTATTATAAATCGTGCCGTGCCGTATTTTATTGGTCCGCTACATAGTAAAATAATGAATTTAACACGCCGCCGCAGTCTTCTGTTTGAATTGTCGTGAGCCTTGTTGTGGGATCGATTTTTAGGTGTTATTAATGAAATTACGGAGGTGCTCGCGAGTGATATTGTTACATAAAGAACCCGTTTTAAAACACTCCCGTTACGGTGGTGTTCAGTCTTGTTCGAGCTGTGGAGCGCTTATAATCGATATAAGTTAATAAAAAATGCATATTTTCCCCATGGTTTCATAAAGGATCGGGTCAATACAGTGCCGGCTCGACCTGCGTTACGAATGTTGTTGATTCGCTTTCAAAATGTGCTATTGTTGATGACTGCAGTGCGACCGATTTATTTAAGTTTAAAGTGATTGTGTGATTATGACAACATACTTACTGTTTTGTTGTGCCACGGAGTTTTTCACAGCGAGAGGTTAGTAAACAAATCTTTTTACACTACAAAAAAATAAACAATTTATAGAAAATTATATGAGGTTAGTACTGATCGTAGTAGGTAACTAAATCCGTGACCCGATGGCGGGAACTTAATTATTTTTTTTAGGTCAAACCTCGGCAGGTCAGCCAGTTCGCCACCTGTGAGTGGCCAGTATTTTGTTTTAATTATCTGCACCGCAATTATTTGTAAAAAGGTCGTGCTATAGCACTGGTTTATAAAAAATATAATACCTGCTTTGACTGCATTTAATAAAAAGATAACAAAATACAGGAACGATCGCGTGATTCCGCGAAAAAAGACTATCAGAACTTTAATCTATGTAGTGACACGATATTTGACATTAGTTTTTAATTCAACCCGTAATCACGGATCGTTTTTGTGTCGAAGTTACCTAATTTCTTTCTATTGAAAGAAATCTTGCAAACTTTTCCTTAAAATTTACCTAAACTACCTACAATCTATATTTACTCACATTATTTCTTCTGAAATCAAGAAAGAAACTACTAAAGTCTTGATTCATCACATCACAAACAAACGACTGTCTACATAACTAAGTACCTAGATAACTATATAACTAGAATTATTTGGTTTTGTTTTTCTTGTCACGAAGTCATGTCATTTTGTTTTATATGCCAGCACCTAGTTGGTTGCTATGCTAAGTAAGTAGGTTTTATTAGTTTTGATTTAAAACTGCACAGTGAAAACAATAGAGGTTATACCACAACACAATTTATTTGAATTCAAACAATATAAACATAGCTAAAAATAAAAAATCAAATAATTTCATTTTGTGTTTGAGGATCAAAATAATTTTATATAAACATAATCTGTTAGTCCTATTCCGTTGTTCTTTCCAAAGATTTCCTTTACAAACTTAGTGGTTGCTATTTATTTTTCAATAATTTTATCATATTTTTGTATGGGTTGACATTGCAATTTTACATTTTTGTTATAACTATAAAATTCATGTATCCACCACTTACTGAATTAAATTTATGATATATAGGTATCTGATTAATTTACTGAAATATTGATCTGATTTGAATAAATATTTTGTGTGTAGGTCTTGTCCTTGTCGTAATGAAAAATATATGGTTTTCTAATATAGTATTGTGATACAATTTGGAATAAAATGTTGAAATACTCAAAGTCAAGTCAAGTCAAAGTCAAAATCATTTATTTCAATTAGACCAGTAAGGCACTTTTGAACGTCAAAACAAAATATTTAAATATTAAATAATAAGAAAAAAATGTCAGTCTGTAGGTCAGTCCTCTAGTGAAGCTATTTGCTCATTCCAAAGTGTAGATTCCTATGGAGAAGAACGAGCAAGAAACTCCATAGGTTACTCTTTTTCAATCATGTTCACAATACAATTTTTGGTTACATTCTTCCGTTGAGTTCAATAATGTGAGAACAATGTAATACCAATATTTGGTCAAGGAGACGGAATCAAAGTCAAAGTCAAAGTCAAAATCATTTATTTCAATTAGACCAGTAAGGCACTTTTGAACGTCAAAACAAAATATTTAAATATTAAATAATAAGAAAAAAATGTCAGTCTGTAGGTCAGTCCTCTAGTGAAGCTATTTGCTCGTTCCAAAGTGTAGATTCCTATGGAGAAGAACGAGCAAGAAACTCCATAGGTTACTCTTCTTCAATCAGGTTCACAATACAATTCTTGGTTACATTCTGTGAATTAATTCACACAATTTCTTTGTCTTCGGCTCTAATCTAAATCTAAATACAAATAAATATCAAAAGATTTGTCATACATACTTACTTTATCTAAAACAATGATATCATACTTATAGCTGTGTCTGAATTAAATATAAGTATGTAATTCACCTTATCATGATACATATCAAGTCTGAAATTATGTCCGGTGTTTATCGAATGGTGATAGGAACACCCCCTTATAACATGGGAAGCATGTAAAGCCGTTAGTCCTGCGACTAATCATTCTCTGGTCTTGTCAGTTTGCCATTCCATCAGGTTAAGATCGTGCATGTGTGTTTGGGAACACACTTGTGCCCTATAATATCTCCTGTGTAGTAATATAGTTCAGTTAGACTTGTCACCATAATTGAAGTTGATTGGAAGATTTATAGATACATAGATAGACATCTGAACTGGTGAAAAGATTGTCTTATAATTATTGTACTAGCGACCCGGCCTGGCTTCGCACCGGTGTAATATGCATGTATTATACATATAAACCTCTCTTAAGATTCACTATATCTATTAAAAAAAAACAGTATCAAAATTTGTTGCGTAGTTTCAAAGATTTAAGCATACATAGGGATAGACAGACGGCGGATAGCAACTTTGTTTTATACTATGTAGTGATATGCACATCTGTCTATATATCTTGTGAATTAAAAGGTGTGTTGTACTATACTAATAATATATACTTTATCCTTACCTAGGCTTTGAACAAAATCTCTGGCTTAAGAGTAATAAATTAAAAAGAGTTTTAGGCTTTGCCATAACAATCTTCGTTCTTGGCAGGTAATTTTGTGAATGGGGATTATAGCTAGGTCACTGAATTTTTAATGATGCAGATCTCGATGAATAAACTGTTAAATTCGCTGTGATAGTGATACTTGCATCTTGTTTATCATTTTGTTATTTATATAGTACTAGCGACCCGCCCCGGCTTCGCACGGGTGCAATATGTATATACATACAAACCTTCCTTAAGAATCACTCTATCTGTTAAAAAAAACCGCATCAAAATCCGTTGCGTAGTTTTAAAGATCTAAGCATACATACGGACATACAGCGAAAGCGACTTTGTTTTATACTATGTATTGAAGCGAAAGCTTTTCCTATGGTTTAGATAGGTACTAAGAAATCACGTGTTACCATGAACTTCGCAAAGGCTTCAGTAATTTTCAAAACCCAAAATCTCAGTTTGCTTTGCCCAACTTGTTCACAAGTTGCATTTACGATCACTCAGCTAACGAAACAGTCTGAACATTTATAAGTAACTAACTTAAATGCTTCTAAGTAGTTACTAAATAAAATAATTTAGTCTAGGTACTTAAGAACGTATCCTTAGGATGAGGTATGCTGGACCTGTTCTTAGAAACCGGTTTTTTATACCTAGGCTATCTAGTTTTACACGGTATACGCGAACCGGAGGCACATCCTGTTTTTTTTTTCTATACGAAACTAATGTTCCTAAAGGTATATAGGTAGATAGCTAGTAAGTTAGTTCGGATAAAGATGTATATTACCTCTATATTAACTACTGAATTTTGTTTTCGTTTCTCACTAACCAATACCAAGACCGCGGAGGCTGGTGTATGGCATTTTTTTAAAGGGGGAAATCATCGAATGGCTTCTTCGCGTGAGGCGGGAGGGAGTGTCAGGCTCTTACTGACTGCAAAATGACAATAGGCGGATTTGTAGTCGCTATTTTGTCATCGACGACAGTTTTTATTGTTTCTAAGCCAGCCAAGTGGTTTGGACTCAAATACTTATTAATAAACCTTTATTTTACACCTTAAATCAATAGAATATACATAAATAAAATTTATATTAACTATTACTAAAATAAAATATATAGGTACAACTTAAAATGTAAATAAGTACGAACTAAATTATTTACACCGTAAAAAAAATGTACAAATTTGTCTTTTGTAGGCCAGCTATTGTCAATGGGCAGATGACTATGACGTAGATCTTACCTAAACCATATTTCAATAGAAAAGTTCTACCTAAATTAAAATATGTAGTTAGAAAAAGGTTCAGGTTTATCAGAGAGCGCTGCTGCCCGATCTCTGTCAACAAATGCATAAGAAGAATCATGTAACTCGATATCCGCTAATGCATTCTTAGTTCCACGGATTAAGGAACGTAATACTAAACTTGCCTAATGGATACAGTGAAAATATTTAATTTTAACTTTCAATTTAACTGCATGGTTAGCGCAGTGGCTGGGCAAGTGACTGCTGCGTGACTTGTGACGAGATTGGTCGTCTTGCGGAACAACGTATTTTAAAAAACAAAATGTCCCGCTACCTCTGACCATTCGCTTTTTTTTTAAGGGGAGAAAATCATCCAATGACTGCTACAGTCTTGGGTGAGGCGATACAGACTCAGACTCTTACTGATTTATCACTACCCTGTTCCTACTTCTGCTTAAGCGGAGACTCGGTAACCCATTAGGTTGCCCGGATGCATAACAATGCAAACTGCTGAGCATTGACTAATGATTCCCGAGACAGCAAAAAAAATTGCGCCACCAATTATTTTGCCTAGTTTTTAGGAATTCGCGAAATTTCATAGTTGTAGCAATGGTATTACTTTCATAGTTATAACCAACTACAATAACTATACACCTATGCACCTCTGCTTACCCCTTTGGAGGTAAAAAGACTTGACGTTATGTTATGTCAATATAATAATATTAAATGTGTCAAATAAATATATTTGACACATTTAATACTATTATATTGTTTAATTAACCTCTTTAATTGCATTGTTTACAAGATAGCGACAATTCCCACGATGTGTGTCAATTGTATGACATGTAGCAGTATATGAATGATATATTTATGGTCATTATCACAGTATGTTGTGATTTATTTAGCCTGCTATAACTATGATACGTTTGACCTGTGATGTCGAATGTAACTGCCGTGCTTTCCCGGGTTTCTCCGAAATTATTGTTGTGTCATTTCAGTTTTGAAAATTGTCAAAGAAATAATATTTAATTAGGTTATTTGAAGGTAGTTACTAGCTTTACTTTCAGTGCTATGAAAGGTACGTATTTGTATCTAATGAGAAGTCCCTTATTTGGTTCTTACAACATCCACAGCAAGAGTTTGGACTGGGTACATCTAGTTTTTAAAATTAGCCTGAGACAGGGCATCAGCGTATTCTGATACACCATTTTTTCTCTAAAAAATGATGACCAGAGAATGATGATCCCCTCTGGGTTAAAAAAATTGACTTCTTCTATATTGGG